AAGGAGAAACTTCCTGACAGTTAGAACAATTAACCAGTGGAACAACCTGCCTCCAGAAGCGGTGAATGCGCCAACACTGGAAGTTTTTAAGAAGAAACTGGACAGCCATTTGTCCGAAATGGTATAGGGTTTCCTGCCTGAGCAGGGGGTTGGACTAGATGACCTCCAAGGTCCCTTCCAACTTTATCATTATTATTATAAATGTGAAAAACGGTCATAAGTCACCTTTTTCAATGCTGTTGTAACTTTGAGCAGTCACTAAGCAAATGGCTATAAGCTGAGGACTACCTGTTCAAATCAAATTATGCAACTAGAATGGATGCAATGACACTCCAAGTTATAATTAATTTTCCTGTTAATTAACCCAAAGAAACACCCACACATATTATTTGCATAGCCATGCTGAAGATAATATATGGGTGTGTTTTCATTTCCTGTCCCAGGCATAGAAAGTGTAAGTCATTGCCTTGCCTTAAAATATTGCAATCAAACATTTCTCCTAATGTAGTTGAGATCACAGTTTCAGGAATGCTGACAGTATGGGGCCCACTTTGCTCATGATCCATTTTTTTCCTCCTTATAGGGAACAGGAAAGGTAAAAATGAAATAGGAAATGTGTTTCCAAATCAGGGACTGTGTTGAGCATGTCACAGCTGAGTCCATTCATTGACTCATATCTCAAGGAAGTGTTTGGGTGCAGACAGATTCCCAATGAGAAGATAACTAAAAACTGGATACTTAACTGTGTTCCAGGAAACAGTAGCCATATAAGATGGCTGACAAGTTTATTAATGAGTGGGAATGAGAGTTTAAGAATGTATACCCAGTCAGCTCTCAAACCTTTCCCTCTGTTTAAGGGAAGACATGGTATCTGGCTTCCCAAAGACTTGAATATTCTAATAGTTTGAGAATGATTTTTTTTTCTCTTTGGGGAGTAACATTTGTGCATTCTTATTGCAATAGACTTGTCTAGTCTTAAGCTCTTTGTGTTTGACTGTGTCCCTCTTAGCCCTTATTCTTCCATTTCTTCTTATTTCAAATCCTCATAATGTCTGTTGATGTGTATGGTTGTCTACTTTTTTTTTCTATACCCATTAAATTAGGTTGAAATCTTCCAGACACCATCTACATATCTACTGCAATCTCTCTCATTTTCCATTGGGAATTTAGAGAGTCATACAGTCTCCAATTTGTTATCTCCATATATTAGTCACTCGAAACAGGAGGATGAGTAGCCTCAGTTCTCTCTTTATCTTGATGGAAAAATGGATTCCAATATTGGCACAGCAATACACAGTCCAGGCTTAAAGCTTAAAATTCTTGGGGCTCCTTTTATTCACATGACTCTAATATTAATTTCCAGCTTGATTCTAGTGGTACCAGTGTTGATATTCTACTGGTCTCTAAGATCCTCCGCAATCTTGAAATCCATTCAAAATCCACTTTTATGAGCCCTAAATTGTTTGAAATTGATTATTTGAGAGATAATGGCTTCCCCTAAAGAATTCCATCAAGTAGGTGAAAGGTATTTATTTTATTTATTTATTTTATTTTACAAAATTTATATGCCGCCCTTCTCCCCATGGGACTCAGGGCGGCTCACAGCATGTTAAAACAATATACAAAATTACCCCTTCTAAAAACCAATTAAAATCCAAATATTAGTGGCTGTGACTATTTAAAATCATTAAAAATTATCCCTATTTAAAATTCACCCTAGGTCAGGCCCGCTNGAGAGAAGCAACCTAGAACTAAGGAGAAACTTCCTGACAGTTAGAACAATTAACCAGTGGAACAACCTGCCTCCAGAAGCGGTGAATGCGCCAACACTGGAAGTTTTTAAGAAGAAACTGGACAGCCATTTGTCCGAAATGGTATAAGGTTTCCTGCCTGAGCAGGGGGTTGGACTAGATGACCTCCAAGGTCCCTTCCAACTTTATCATTATTATTATAAATGTGAAAAACGGTCATAAGTCACCTTTTTCAATGCTGTTGTAACTTTGAGCAGTCACTAAGCAAATGGCTATAAGCTGAGGACTACCTGTTCAAATCAAATTATGCAACTAGAATGGATGCAATGACACTCCAAGTTATAATTAATTTTCCTGTTAATTAACCCAAAGAAACACCCACACATATTATTTGCATAGCCATGCTGAAGATAATATATGCGTGTGTTTTCATTTCCTGTCCCAGGCATAGAAAGTGTAAGTCATTGCCTTGCCTTAAAATATTGCAATCAAACATTTCTCCTAATGTAGTTGAGATCACAGTTTCAGGAATGCTGACAGTATGGGGCCCACTTTGCTCATGATCCATTTTTTCCCTCCTTATAGGGAACAGGCAAGGTAAAAATGAAATAGGAAATGTGTTTCCAAATCAGGGACTGTGTTGAGCATGTCACAGCTGAGTCCATTCATTGACTCATATCTCAAGGAAGTCTTTGGGTGCAGACAGATTCCCAATGAGAAGATAACTAAAAACTGGATACTTAACTGTGTTCCAGGAAACAGTAGCCATATAAGATGGCTGACAAGTTTATTAATGAGTGGGAATGAGAGTTTAAGAATGTATACCCAGTCAGCTCTCAAACCTTTCTCTCTGTTTAAGGGAAGACATGGTATCTGGCTTCCCAAAGACTTGAATATTCTAATAGTTTGAGAATGATTTTTTTTTCTCTTTGGGGAGTAACATTTGTGCATTCTTATTGCAATAGACTTGTCTAGTCTTAAGCTCTTTGTGTTTGACTGTGTCCCTCTTAGCCCTTATTCTTCCATTTCTTCTTATTTCAAATCCTCATGTCTGTTGATGTGTATGGTTGTCTACTTTTTTTTCCTATACCCATTAAATTAGGCTGAAATCTTCCAGACACCATCTACATATCTACTGCAATCTCTCTCATTTTCCATTGGGAATTTAGAGAGTCATACAGTCTCCAATTTGTTATCTCCATATATTAGTCACTCGAAACAGGAGGATGAGTAGCCTCAGTTCTCTCTTTATCTTGATGGAAAAATGGATTCCAATATTGGCACAGCAATACACAGTCCAGGCTTAAAGCTGAAAATTTTGGGGGCTCCTTTTATTCACATGACTCTAATATTTCCAGCTTGATTCTAGTGGTACCAGTGTTGATATTCTACTGGTCTCTAAGAATCTCCGCAATCTTGAAATCCACTCAAAATCCACTTTTATGAGCCCTAAATTGTTTGAAATTGATTATTTGAGAGATAATGGCTTCCCCTAAAGAATTCCATCAATTCCATGAAAGGCAACCCAAAGCCCAGCATTCCTCCGAATATACAAGTGTAGGAATGCAAAGTTCATTGACCATCCTATCTTTGATTTCCATTTGTACAGTTACAAGGAAAAATACAAGAACAAACACCAAGTAACACTTTCAAAACATTTCTGCACAGTAAAACTGAAGCACAGATGTTTATGGCACTACTTTTGAAATTTTACATTACAATAGCATTCAGAGAACCTGGAAGCCCCACCAAGTGGGTTTTTGTCAATGAACAAGAAATGATGATTATGCTGTATTAATGAGATTGGAAATAACAAAGCAACCATACTTGGAATACTTTCCTTACAGCACTAAACAAAAACTTGTGTAAAATGTCTTGCATTCAGCTTTCTGGAATGTGCTTACATGTGAGGATCATGCCTAACAAGATTAAATTACTATTCTCTACAAGTAGCCATCCAGTTTTCAAGGTTATTTCAGTTGCCTTGTACAAAACTGAAAACCCGGTTTGTTGCTTCCTCCTAGGTTTATATTACATTCCTATTCTTCCCTTCCCAGTGTAACCTAATTGTTGTAACCTCACGTGAAAAATAGATGAAATAGTTTTTAATTCTACACTATGAGATCACGAGGAATTAGGCAGGTGCAAAGTACTGTATATTACTGATAATGGAGAAATGACAAGGCAAAGCAAGCAATTACATAAATGCAGACATTATAATTAAAACTGGGGCAAACAATTTAATCCAAGCAAGATGGTTGGAGTCCACACTGTGCCTGGAAAATATAATAACAAAGATGAAATTCTTTTTGGCTTATGTGCAGTCTGATATGAGGATTAAATTCCTTCCTGGTAAGGAGACTGTATGGGAGATCAATTGCCTCTTTAAAATAGCTCTGTTTTGATTCTATCTTGATCTGGCTATATAGCTAAGATAGCAATTCATTTGTAAAATTTGAAATGATTGTTGTTGTAAAATAATATTTCTTTCTGTCCTTTGATCACAGCATGTACTATTTGCCAACAATGGATGGATGGAGTCAACTTTTGCAAGCAAAGTGGGCAATTGACAATGCAGTCCTACACATGTTTATTCAGAAGTCAAGTATGTCTTTACACTAAATAAATGCGTATACGTTTGCAACTTGGGAAACCACACCTACAAATAGATCCTCGACTTACCGCTGTAATTGAGCCCACAATTTTGACTGGAAGTTGTGACGGTCATAAAATAGCTCACTGTTTGACCAGTCCCAATTTTACGATCTTTTTGCAGTTGTTCAGCAAACTCTGTTTGCTATGGGGCGTTTTTGCAGGAATTTGTAAATGCTGGTTTCCAGAAAAACCATCATAAATCATGGCCATATGACTGTGAGGTTGCTACACACGGCTCTAAATATGGACTAAAATGTAGACATGTGTCTAAGGGGGAGGGGTGGACATTAGAATTTCAAATCCAGGGCATAAAAGTAGTTTGGTCGTAACTTTGAACGATTGCTAAGCAACCAGTTGTATGTCAAGGACTACCTGTGTACAGCTACTGAATTCATGTCTTCCTATTCCAATAGCAAACATAGCCTTGAAACAAACATATGACATCAGTGAACAGTTTAGAACAGGGGTAGGCAACCTTGGCTCTTTTATGACTCGTGGACTTCAACTCCCAGAATTCCTGAGCCAGCCATGCTGGCTCAGGAATTCTGGGAGTTGAAGTCCACGAGTCATAAAGAGCCAAGGTTGCCTACCTCTGGTTTAGAATATACATGCTACTGGAAACCACTGAACCAGTGATATTTCTCTCAACCATGGTGACCTCCCCTTTTAAAACCTGAGTCTTCCCTGTGCTGCAGTGAAGCTTCAAAATAGCTTCCACTGATAACAAAGTAAGCTAATTTAATATTCACTGAGCAAAGAGAAGAGCATTTTGTGTTTCCAAGCCTAGAGGGAGAAACAGGGGGTGAGAGAGAAGGAATGGAAGGGAGAGGAGACCAGATGAGATTTAGTTCACTGGTTGGGGAATTCTGGGAGTTGAAGTCAACACACCTTTAAAGATGCTAAGATTAAAATTGAGAAACACTAATATAGAAGTCTATCATGCCTAGTTGTTGAATTTATAATAATGGTAAAGGATCTTTGCATTTTAAATGCAAAACCTGAAAAAACTCTCAATAGGTATTCTCACTAATAACAAGTTATCATTCAAGCAGCCAGATAAGACCCAATGTTAATATATTAAAGCCTTCTCACCTGATGAGACTGATAATATGAAGTTGCAAAATATGGTCTTGAAGCAAAGTCTGTTTCCAATGCATCTAATTTATATACATACTCTGGAACGCTGCTAGCTCGATGCAAACCTCCTGTAGAAATGCAGGAAAAATAGACTTTCAGTAAATCACATAATCAAAGTAGACTTGAAACTGCTGAATTATATCACTTAGCAAGGATTAATGAGAAATAAAAAGCCGAATACAAGTAGTCCTCAATTTGCAACCATTCATTTAGTGACCAAAGTTACGATGACACTGAAAAAGGTGACTTATGACTGGCCCTGATGCTTAAAACCATCACAGCATCTCCATAGTCACGTGACCAAAATTTGGGCACTTGACAACCAGCATGTATTTTGTGACAGTTGCAGTGTCCTAGGATTGTGTGATTCCTATCTGTAACCTTCCCAGGCAGCTTCCAACAAGGAAAGTCAATGGGAAAGCCAGATTCACTTTACAACTGATTCACTTAACATTTACACTGATTTGTTTAACCATCATGGCAAGAAAGATCATAAAAACCGATGTGACTCATTTAACAAAAGCCTTGCTTAGCAATGGAAATTCTCATCCCAACTGTGGTCAAAAGCTGAGGACAACTTGTATTAACATGCTTAAAAGAACTTCAACATTTGCAGAAAAAAAACATTACATCTAGTTCTTTTCTTCTTTTTTAAATGCTGCAGAAATCAGCCAAACAAAATATTTGCTTTGTGGTTGGGTAAGTGTGAGTCCCACCTTTGCAAATAGAATATTAAACAGCATTTTATCAACAATGATTGTTGGATATAGGCAAGGCCAGGGGGTAACTTTGAATTGCAGTAGAAATTTGACATGCTTAACTTTTACACTGTATTCCAGGTTCCTGTAACGTTGCATCTTTGCTTGACAGTTTGATGTTATGTTCATTTTATCTAAGCAATCGGAAGTTCAAAAGCCGCTTAAAGCCCCTTTAGTGTTATGAACTTCAAACTTCAATAGTGGAATGCACAATCTTTTCTGAACCAAAATGGGAACACTGTACAGTTACAAGGAAAAATACAAGAACAAACACCAAGTAACACTTTCAAAACATTTCTGCACAGTAAAACTGAAGCACAGAAGTTTATGGCACTACTTTTGAAATTTTATATTACAATAGCATTCAGAGAACCTGGTGGGTTTTTGTCAATGAACAAGAAATGATGATTATGCTGTATTAATGAAATTGGAAATAACAAAGCAACCATACTTGGAATACTTTCCTTACAGCACTAAACAAAAACTTGTGTAAAATGTATCTCAGCCTATTTCTAAAAATACAAATGTAGAAACCACGGTTGATTCTCTATAATAGGGAGGTCACTTTATGTATAACTTGCTTGCTGTCCAGGTAAGAATTACTCAAGGACAACTTTAAGATTCATATTCTTCCTTTTATATTTTTTTAAAGTTTAACTTGGAGCTCAAAGCCCTTCAAAGTAAAAGAAAGTACAATTATTTTAAGACTTTTAGGACTCTTTATTTTAACTGCCCTTGGTTCTTGAATTTGCGTTTTGGGAACTTGAATTCAAACATGGCAACAGCTAAATTTGATTTAATTGGTTTATTTTAAATTAGGGATAGTAGCCAGTAGCTAACTGTGGCTGATCACCACTCCCGCTATATACCGAGCCAGAAAAAGCTGAAACAAAGCTACATTCTAGCATGTATTCTTTTCAATTATTTCATTTGTGAAAGCTTTATCAAAACCAGAGGTCCTCCCTTTCTCATCAATCAGAATTGCTTTGGATATCATAATGGGTGGCATATAAATTAGATAGATAGACAGGCGGACGGACGAATGGATGATAGACCTAATTCAATTCTATGTGTGCAAATGCCACAGTGATTCTTTCTACGAGGGAAAATGACTTTCTTGTCTATTATGGCAAAATTACAAAAAACTAATTCTCACTATCATGCATCATCAGTCCTGGAAAATTGATTTCATCAGCATTACTCAGGTTAAAGCCTTAATGGATTAAGTTTCTTCTTTGCCTTAACATTCTGGAAGGATAAAGTTTGTATTGGGAGGGGGGGAGCATCATTTTGCAAATGATAGTTTGCATTTTGCAGTGCTAACAAGCATGACAGTTATTAAGATCTATAGGGCAAAAGTCTTGAGTTAAATAATTAATGGTGCCTACGTTTATGTATTGTACTGAAGTCTACTCTGTTAGGTATGCCCCATTGTGCATCCAGCTGTTAATGTAGAATTCAGCCTAATCTCTATTGAGGCTTGTATATATCTTGGCCTCTAAAATATTGACATAAGCTCATCTGTTTTGAGGGTTCTCTGGCACCCCAACTCTTTGAGATCTTCTTGATTAAATATGGTTTTAAAATTCTGTGGCCCTTCTGCTAAATATTTGAGCTCAAGAAATATTGCAGATGAAACAATGATTCAGGACAGCAGAAAGTTCATTGGTTTCTCACTCCTAAAATAAACAATGCCTTCAGTTAGAGTTCTGCAGCATGGTAAAGCAGGACGTAAGCCATCCCCAAATAAGATGCATCACTATCTTTAAACTAAAAAACCTGTTCCCATAAAAATGTGTCTGCTCGCTCTTGCATTATGGTATAGTCTGACTGTCTCTTGTATCAATAAACTGTTGCTTATTCTACATTGACTCCAGCTATTGATCCTTCATGACTTTCCCATGCTCTGGAATCTTTCAATTCCAACAGAGCAAGCATTCCTTAATCTTCCACCCCAGTCTCCTCTGAGACCACCAGCAAACTGTATAGATTAGAAGAAACACATGGCAGATAAACTGTAGGACAGAATTGTGGATTAATGAAACTCTTTAGTCATACTTGGAAAGTTAAGCATTTCTGCAGAACATATGAAAGGCAGGGATCCCATTTTGTTTTACATTCCTGAAAGATTGAGTTATTTGAGCTGTCCTATTTCCTTGGTTACAATCGGATTTCTGTTCTAATTTATTTTTTAATCATTCTCTCAAGGTCTCCTGCATACCAAATTCAGTTGATTAAACTGGAATACTGATATTGATATGAGTCGTGAAATTATTGAATGCAGGTAGCAATATGACCAAAATGTAGAGCAGAAGTGAAAGAAATTACTTGATTAAAAGGTTTGGACAAGATTAAGCACAATGGTGATGCGATTTCTTAGAATAGAAATCGCATCACCATTACAATAGAATAGAATAGAATAGAATAGAATAGAATAGAATAGAATAGAATAGAAGCTGGAAGGGACTTTGGAGGTCTTCTAGTCCAGCCCCCTGCTCAAGCAGGAGAACCTATACCATCTCAGACCAGAGACTGTCTAGCCTCTTTTTAATCGTGGAGTGCCCACGATTTCTGGAGGCAAGCTGTTCCACTGGTTAATTGTCCTCACTGTCAGGAAGTTTCTCTCTTTGATCAGTTTCCAACCATTGTTTCTTGTCCTGCTCTCTGGTGCTTTGGTGAATAACGTGACCCCCTCTTCTTTGTGGCAGCCCCTCAAATACTGGAATATTGCTATCATGTCTCCCCTATTTCTTCTTTTCTTTAGACTAGCCAAACCCAAGTCCTGCAGCTGTTCTTCATACGTTTTAGTCTTTAGGCCTTTGATCATCTTAGTTGCTCTTCTCTGAATTTTTTCTAAACTCTCAACATCTTTTTTGTAATATGGTGACCAAAATTGGCTGCAGTATTCCAGGTGTGGTCTTACTAGGGTTTTATAAAGCGGTACTAATACCTCGTGTGATCTTGACTCTATGCCTCTGTTTATACAACTCAGGATTGTATTAGCTTTTTTGGCTGCTGCTGCACACTGCTGGTTCATGGTTAAGTGATCGTCCACTAGAAATCCAAGGTCCCTCTCATAGTTACTGTTTTTAAGCCAGGTCTTGCCCAATCTGTACTTGTACCTTTGATTTTTCCTGCCTAAATGTAAAACTTTGCTTTTCTCCACATTGAAACTCATTTTGTTGGATAGGGCCCTTTGTTCAAGTTTGTCAAGATCTTTTTGGATCCTGAGTTTGTCTTCTGGGGTGTTGATTACTCCTGCCAGTTTGGTGGCATCTGCAAATTTGATGAGTTCCCCTTCAATTCCCTCATCTAAGTCATTTATGAAGATATTGAAGAGTACTGGGCCTAAGACGGAACTAGATTAGTTTTAGTTTTAATTTAAACAATATATAGTAAGTGTTTTCCGGTGAAACCGGTCTAATAGAGCATCTGGTCTATTGTTATGATTGCTTTTGCCTTTCAACCGGAATCTAGGATATATGTTTTATACATGGAAAATCTTAAGATTCAATCTTGCATTTTTGAAAACATGAAAAAGATGGAATATTCAAGATCTGAATGAAAGATAGTGTGGCTAATTTCACACAGCAAATAAATTGCTGTATAGTTTGCCCGTATTATTTATCTGTAGCCAGGGGCTGACAAAATGGTTAATGTTGGTATTGTGATGATGCTTCTGCATTTTCTAGCATCAGGTTAGAAAGTACAGATCTTTAAGAAAGGTTTTTATGGATAAATAGTGGTTAACCAACACTGCAATTATAAATTTGAGGTTACACCTTAAATATTCATTATCTTAATCAAGGTAACGGGCAATAAGTATAATCACTGACTGAAAGAAGATAAAGGTTGCCTCCTAGAAAGCAGAATTCCCCAATAGTAGTCCCTAAATACTTCTTTATAATTAGCTAATATATAAAGATCTAAACTAACTTATACATATACATATGCATGCATAATTTGACCTTAGTCTAGATTGTTGTACCTTGGCTTCACCAACTGAAATGACCACTAAATGGCAATAAGAAATTATTTTTGCAGACCTACTGCAATCACCCCAGTGGGTTCCAAAGCACAGCTTAAGATTTGGCTTTCTCATGAGGGTTCTTCTATTTTCACTTTGATGTTTTTGAAAGTTTTGACTTGAGTGGCACGATGCCCACCGGCATTGTGTCCTGATAAGTCTATGATGCCTTGCCATTTAGTTCTAGGCACAACCATATTTGCCTCTGGGAAGTCTTCAGTGATGATCTTTTTTTTTCTCTTTCTGAATCTTAATGTCACACTATCCAGTTTGCAAGAACTTT